CTCTCTCTCTCTCTATTTCGTGTTTACAGTAATTAAGTTTATGAGAGAACAAATTCAGTAATTAATATCAATAGAGTATTGGGTATGTACTACCTTTACTACTAAATACTTGCAGATTCTGGGTCAGAAAGCTGGTTGTGTGGCTGGTTACCTATACGACTTCCCAATATGTAATGAAAGTCAAATGTTCAATCTGGTGTGTGTGGTAGTTACCCTGTATTTCATTCTTAGTCAATGAAGTGACTTTTATAAATTAAACAGGCGCAATTTTTTATAATGATTTACTTAAAAAGGAAGTTACTTTATTCCATTGTATAATGTTTAGTCTGTACTGAATCATTTTGTTTGTGTAATGTGTTTTGATGTCATTTCAAAATTCAATTTGACTTTACTTCACCTTTGGCATTTGAGATATACAAGCAGTGGAATGGATTAATGTTTACAAAATTGTTCCTGAGTAGAGTTATATTGTAAAGCACTTCTATTGATATTTTAAAACATATATTTTTATTGTGAAAAGAAGTGAATATTCCAGTGTATGAGAGTATTATATTTATAATTTGTAAAATAAAATATTGTGTGTGTGTGTGCATCTGGTAATTTTTCTAAACGAAGTTCAATTTATACTTTGGTTAAATTTAAATGATGTCATCAGTGCAATTGTGACTTAACCCAAATGTTTAGTAATTTGAGTGTATTGCTTGCATCTCGTATCACACTTCAAAACTATTCATCTTCAGTGGTTTCACTGTTTCCATTAATTATTACTGTGTAATTCCATAAAGAAATATTTTAGTACTGTGTATATCTGTTACAGTTAGTCCAATAGTGACCAAATTCTATGTATCTCAGGCCTATTCAACCACTTCTGCACAGCAGGACACTACTTTTTTTCTTCTGGCAGTATAACAATATTTGTTTAATAAAACTTAAATTTGCCTACAGAATATTTCAAATGAACTTCAATTTCATCTGTGAAGTGTGATTATGCTTCAGCATGTTCTTACATCAATGCAAGTACATTTCTTCAATAGTTAAAGATATTGATTTAATCATTTTTTAAGAAAATGACCCATGACATTTGTTTACAATTTTCTTCAGAAATGGGAGGTCACCGATTGACTAATTGGCACATGATATGAAGACCATCTTTACTTGTGCAGTGCTATCTGAACAAAGTAAGCTCTTGGGAAATGTGTATGTTGTATGTGCTCTTTTTCTGTGTTATAACAATTCTTTTAAAGGGCATGCTATATGAAAATTACAAATGTTACTAGCAGTGACAAGTCATCACATTTTCATTAGGAGAGACTAATCTCAAACCCATCAATTCACATCCTGTGATGACCTTATCATTGTATAATTCTGAATTATGAAGTTGCCAATTTTCACAATAATGTTTTCTTTCCATCATTTAATGCACATATACATTGTATATCTTAGAGTATGATAATTGCTTCAATGCCTTTCTATAAACCAATCTGAGTTTGTAATTTTACAGTGTGGAATTGTTACTCTTAATGTACATTACTTTTGTGGCATAGAAAGCGATACTGAGATATGACACATTTTTCCTTAAATTGATAATTTTTTACGATTATTTGGTACTACATTTTATCTGATCTGATGGATTCTCAAATTTTCCTCACTAAAATGTGGGATTTTGGCTCTGCACTGATGAGCTATGCCAAGCATCATCATCGTCCACTCTTCACTTCTGAGCAATGCTGATCATTTTTTAATGGTGCTTAATTAATAACACATATTAACACATTGCTTTCCTCCCTCCAAATGTTTCATGCAGTTTTTACAATTTTTTGTGTTAAATAATGAAATAATGATAATATTATGTAAAATTTTGTAATATTATTTTCATATATTTATAATAGCTTCACAAAAGGAAGTCAGAATTGCAGGCAGGCTCTGAAACATTCTGCTAGCAACAAGAAGTCAGATATTTTCCAAATTCATAAAATGAAGTGATACTATTCAGCTCAAAGGGTTAATCCTGCTGCCAAATGAAGCTGCAATGAGTATGCCATCCTACATGTCTGTATGTCATTGATCTGTGCTCCTTCCAGGGGAGGGCCATGGGGGCTACAGCCCTCCCCAAAAGGCCTAGAGTTTTTGTTTATGTTCCTATATTTGCCATATTGTTTTAAGTATTTATGTTCGAATTGTCAATAAGTAAACAATAATATTGTATAGTATCATATCTCTAGAACATAAATAATATACAATATAATAACAAATATGTTAATTATTTAACAAAAATTTTCAATGGCTCTCTCCAGAATGATCAGATGGATGTGTATTTTGAGCTTTAGATGTATTTTCCAAATGATTTTCAGTAAGAAACAGAATATTGATTGTAATTGATATGAGTAAAATGATTGACGAATTACTGTATTTACCCAAATATAATTTATTCCTAAATATCTCATTCCAAAAATACTTGGTCGCCTTATATTTGCAGATTAAACATATTAAATTAATATTTATATTTTTAACTTTGCTTTTCCATGCTAAGAAACGCAAATGCTAACAAAACAATAAGCTGCATCACCATTACCTAATTATATATTCAATATTAATTATAATATAATCTATTCCTAATTATATATTCATGAACATATTGTTGGCATCCACCGCGCATTTGCTGGGCGATTCAGACTAGTTATAAATGAGCCAATAAAGAAAAAATCTCAAATGAATGGCAAAGTAGTATATGAAATTCCATCTGAAAATAATTAAAAATCATTTCCAAGATTTTGTTGAGGTGGCCCCACAAACTCTCAGTACGATGCCTTGTGAGTGATCTCTGTTGTGAAAGTGATGAAAATTTTAAAAGATCATTTTCTACAAACAACCACAGAGATAGATTAATAAAAATGTTTTTTTTTGTTATTTACATCGGTAAAGGCATGCTTAACTCCTTAGCAACCAACCGCCTCAAACATGAATGAAGTCCACAACAACGTATGTTAAAAATTCTCAAGTGTATTACAAATAATTTAGCAGACTCTCGAGTTTTGATTTTAACAGTGCTCGTAATTCTTTGGATACAAATGTTCCTCTTGTCTGTTTGTCCATGTCACTTTGTCTTCTTTTTCTATTTGCCCCCTTGGCTCATTTTGTCCCTACATCCACCTAGTCCCATTTTGCCCCCTTCTCTAATTTCTTCCCTTGTCCGTTTTGTTCCATGTTTCTTGAAACTGTTTTCTACTTTTATAGACCTTCATAGTTTTTAATCACTCTTAAGTAATTTTGAATACATTGTGTGACTTTTAACATATTGAGTTCAGTGTCATGTCAGAAGCAACAAATTTTGAATTCTTGATGTTTTAACATTCATTACACACTGATGATATACAATCATCATTTCTCTCAGAAACTTTTAGGAGATGCAATAATTTTGTGTTAATATGTATTCTATACATTATATATATTTGTTATATAATTATAAAATAGGTACAAACGCATTTATTTATATATATAAAAATGGGTATTGAAATACCAATTATTGTTGGTTAAAAAGACCATCTTTTATTAAAACAAATTGATGTTAGTTTTGTTCTTTAATCTATACACTAGTGTTTAATGAACCTAGACTAGATAATGAATCACATTTTGACATTATAATGAGGACAAACTTTCAATCACATAGAGCTCTTATTCTAAAATGATTCTTTATGCATTTATATGAAATGTTAACTACAAACAAAAGTAGATTTGAGTTACATTTATATTTACTGATATTCTAAGTATTATAAATATATTTCAAAAATGTTACATATCCATTGTGTATATTGAATACGAAGTATGATTAGCAAACTTGGATTCCAATCACTGTAATTGTCACCAAGAACAATAACTTGAATAAAATTAGAAAAAGTATGAACTGAATCTAAACTAAATTTTTATAATACATAGTAGCATTGTAAGCAACTTGATTTAACTAAATAAAATAAAATGTTAGTTTCTGCATTAGTTGCTAGTGTTTTCTGTGATACTGTAGAGGGATTGCTTCAAGAGTGGATAAGTATGGGAATTTTTAGTATTTATTATCGAAAATTTCATGATATGTACATAAAAACATAAGTGTTTAGCTGATCTTGGTGTAAAGCAAGTTTTCGGTTTTATCATTAATAATATCAGAGCACTTCTCATGATTTTTAGTGTGACTATTTCACAAATAAACACATTACATGAAAAAATGGTTAACCAAAATCAGAGGCATTTTGGAAAAGAGAAATATTACTGAAAACTGATACCAGATTATAAGAAATTTTCATTCAGCTCTGAGGTATAACCTGCCTCTTGGAATAACTTCAATCCAATATGAATAACAATTTAATGTAAAAAAGTCAACTATGTTTTAATTTTATGGTAACGAAACCTTCAAAAATGATACAAAAATAAGTCAAGTACATTTACTAAAAACTATTATTGAGGTTGTAGGATGTTGAGTTTTCCATATCTTGAAATTCCATGGAAGTATTTGAAATGGAAGATTTATTAGTTGAATTAGCAGTGGGATTATTCATTTTCAAATGGATTGAACATATGTTTGTACTCCTTAAATATTTTCCTGCATAATTTTGTTTGTATCGTTCCTCAAC